TGTTAATTTAGGTTTTTATTCTATTTCACTTTAAAGAGCAAAAGTTTGTGATGTTAAACTTTTATCAGTCCCAGAGCTCAGAGTCCAAATGACAGAGAAAATGAAAGTAAAGAATGCAAAAAACAGCCAACGTCAAAGTGCCCAGACTGAAACACTCTGTATTTGGCAATCACTTCTCTCAGCTATGTTTGAACACAGACACTTTTCGACTTGAAAATTCCCTGTTACCCAACATCAAGAGTTACTGATGCAATTTCCAGAGCCAACAAACACGTAGATGCACTTCATGGCTGCATGTAACAATAACTTCCATTATTGATTAATCCATTAATTAGTTTTTGATTGATTATTAATCATTTAGTCTATAAAATGTCAGAAAATAGTTAAAAATGTCTGTCACAATTTCCCAGAGCCCGGGGTGATGTCTTCACATTGCTTGTTTTGTCTGATCAACAGTTGTAGCCTAAACCCAATATAGTTTTACGAAATAATCTTAACTCAGGGTCCAGATACTAGCTTTTTGGGTGCTTTCAACCACATCTCAAAGTCATCATCATCATCAGTTATCACTTCACAGAAGTTCCACACAAACTCCATTCACTGCTGAAGATTGTGAGATGTGGTTAAAAGCCCTGGAAACAGCAAATAAGTGGACCTTGATTTAAGATGAATTTATCAAAATATTACTTCCAAGGTCAAGAATGAATTTTGATGCTTATATTGATTAACAAATTATAAAGATTTCACCAAAGTCGCCATCAAATGTAGTTTTTTATTCTCTGATCAGATGTTTCCTGATCTAAATCTTCTTGGAAATCTTCTTTGGAAATTTTATTCAAGCAAGTTCTTCAACACTAATGCATTTAAGAGTTTGGTCCATCCATCCATCCATCCATCCATTGTCAACCGCTTATCCTGCGTACAGGGGCGGGGGTGCTGGAGCCAATCCCAGCTGACATTGGGCGAAAGGCGGGGTACACCCTGGACAGGTCGCCAGTCCATCGCAGGGCTTTAAGAGTTTGGTGTATTTATTTTTAAAAAGGGTTAAAACGTGTTATATGTTCCCTCCTGAGCGGTCATAAAAGTTGGCAATGAATTATTTGTCAACTGAGTGATTAATTAATCAACTAACTTATGAGCGCTACTGTCATTTTCAATTTGGATGCAGAGGAGATTATTCACATGCACAGCCATACTGGTGGCTCGGTGAGGCTCTGCTCAGACACAGGGTGCTTCGAGCTAACTGCTAATGTCAGCATGGATCAGGATTAAGAAATCTACTTTACTGAAACCCTTTGTGTGTGGGAAACATAAGTTTTTCAGGACAAAAAATTCAAAACATTCAGAGGTCAAAATGCAGAATGTAAGCGTGTCTTACCAGCTTGTTGTTCTCAAAGACATTTTCCTTCTTCAGTGAATCAAAGTTGCTGCAACAGAGGAAGAAAAAAAATTAGTAACAAAACACATGTGATCCAACTTCCCTTCCTCATCTATTTGTTGACAAGCAGTACATGTTTTATTTGTGTCATGCACATCAAAATATATCATGACACTGACAATGTGACAATTCAATTCAATTCATTTCACGGTTGCTGTGGTGTCACTGATGCATTCATCACAGGCCTGATAGTGTTTATAGTGAGCAAACTGAAGCAAATCCTTTAACCAATATTTAGTACTTCAGCCCATGTAAACATTAAACATGCAGCTACACTGGTCTGGCTGCAGGTAAAAACTGGAATGGAAAGGATTGGAGCAGCTGTTCATCTTAAAACGAAACTACAGTCTGTCTGTGTTCCATAATGACTTCTCTGGAACAAAACCAGGCATATCTGTAGTTCAACTGGAGACGGTGAGTCAATTCTTGGGAAAATTTTTAAAAATTAAGCCAAAGTCTAATGTTGAGAGATCTTATTCAAACCATATTGTGCCAAGATGTTACAGCTTTCAAGTACAAAATATTCAACATTATTGCCTTGTGGAACATCCCTGGTAGTGATCAGTGAGTCCTGGGAAAAAACAAAGACGGTGTCCTTTTTACTTTCAGGCAAAAATTGAATTCCAAACATTTGATCAAGGCACCGGACTGAAAAGGATGTTTAACACACACACACACCACACACACACAAACTGTAGTAGATCCCATGCTGAAATTGAGATTTTCAGCTCTAATTACACACACACTTCATTCCAAAAAGTAAGTAACATGGGTCACAGAGATGGGAGGAGATGGAACAAGAAGTTGTGTCTTATTTTGATTTACACCTACAAGAACAAACACAAGAAGAGCTGTTTTGTGGTAAGTAGCCTACAAATCAAGTTTTAAGCAATATTCTGGTCAACGACAGGTCTGTTTGCTGAACAAATGACATTTGAAAGCTGTGAAGTATTTTTCACATTTCAATGCAAAGGCCTAGTAGATATATGTATTTTAGATGCGGCTATTATGGAAGCAAATAATGACTGATTCCATCCAAAACATTATTTGCTGACATAGCATGACATATATAATGTTGTTCTCTCAGTTATTTTTAACTGATGCAGAGAAAGAGGTGAGTAAATGTCCAGTCATGTTAGTTAAGTAAGATAAATAGTTCCAGTTCATTTTAAAACCATTCAGACCTCCTAGGGGCCAATATACTGACCCCTTTGGTCACTTAGCTCCAAAGTCCATTGAGCTCCTGCTCCTGTTTTCCCTGCAGACCCATGAAGCTGAAGTTTGTTCCCTTTCATCAACTGCTGAAACTTGTCAAAAAGCTGGTAAGTATAACCAATATTCGCCTTCTAACTATAGGCTAAGAGTTAAATGTTTTAAACTAGCCACGACACAGACAACACTGACTGACTCGCTGAGGTGCGTTTTAAAATGTTCTGGTGTCAGTAGGCTACTTACATGAGATCGGGTCTGTGTTTGTGGATGAGGGCGCAAAAAGCCAGGCCGTCCCTGAAGGACGTGGTCATGTTTGTGATGGACACATCCCGGTAACCCTCACACCGGACCCGGCACCACTGCTGCAGCGCCTTCACGGCCGACATCCCGGAGCTCAAACCCCGAACTGATCCGTGTGTGAGTGCAGCGGCGCCGCTGTTGGCTCACAGAGCTCCCCCTCCGTCCCTCCCTCCAGCAACACACTTCAGAAACTTTCCACAGTAACTTGGACACGCTGGATCCGGGAAGTGACAGACAGCAGTAGCCTACTGTGTGTTCGTGAGCGTTTGTGGGAATCACCTTAATTCTCAACTGAGAAAGTAGAAAGAATGTGGATGCGACACCTGCGAAAGGTTGAGAGTGACGAGGAATGGGTGGAGTTCAGTCCGCCTTTGTTTCTTTAAACCTTCTCCGCGTCTCTGTGTGTGTGTGTGTGTGTGTGTGTGTGTGTGTGAGACACTGGGCTACATAAGACAGACTAATCACAGGCCATAGATATGATCTTAGAGATATGCGTTCATGAGTCCAAATTACTCAGGAATTTTTTAACTATGAGCGACCAAAAAAAAGTGTGCAAAGTCTTAGGCTAATCCATTCATTCAGAATAAAAACCTGCTCCGGTTAATTCTCCAGATTGCCATGAATATTAGGCTATGTGTATGATGATTTTTATTTCCTTTTGGCACACTTGTAGTTAAAGACAAGACCACAATCAGCTGCCTTTAAAAATCCCATTACTATAATTTGTGTTTAATTTTTTCATCTAAACTCCTTAAAACCCACAAATACCCAGAGACAAAACTGAGGGCACATTCATCAGAGCTGCTAAATCACCACTCACATAAAAAGTTACCACAGCATATTTAGGATTTTACATTTCTATTTCCTGAGCTATGACAGGAAATAGTAATATTTATTCAACGATCATAATGTGGAGCTATTTTAGTATGTTAGATCGAGGATAAAAGCAAGGTGTGGTTGTTACTTGTGTAAGTCAGCCTGCCCTGTCCTGTCTGCGGGTTGTATTGAAAGAGGCGGGTTGAAGTCACCTGACACCTCACCTGCACACATGATCAGTTCATAATGCAGCAGGCCGACAGCAGAGGGACTCTGTCTTTCTGATTCAGACTATAGCTGCGTACTTTGCTTCACCCTATTGACTGCATTGTAATGTTTGTTTCTAGTTCTGTTTATTTGTTTATTTATTGCTTTGTTAGCGAAATAATCTGCAGATTTCACTTAAAATTAGGAGGAAAGTTTGGCCATGGGAAAAAGAAAAAAAAAGCTATAGTTACTGGTCTAGCGCCACCATGCGGCCATTTATAAAAGACCACAAACGCCTATCTGTCACCAAGTCCCACCCACAAAATTTTCCATAATGTTGAATTTTAAACAGTGTTTCCAATATTGCTTTTTCAATTTGTATGAATTTTTCACCAAATCTAATACATCGGCTATTTCAATATATCCTTTAAAACATTTTTAATTCGTTTTTGGTTGTTCTAGCCCATATTAGCCAGGTGGCCAAATAAAAAAAAAAACTGTGCTGTGTGTTTAGTTTTAGAGAGTTCAGATGCAAACTGAAATTTGTAGATTCTCTGTTATTAAAATTAAATTAAATTAAACGAAAGATTGTGCTTGATTGGAAAGTGCAGATACTTTGCTTCCAAATACTTTCACTCAAGAATTCGGTGAAACATTTATCATGTATTCCCTTTTTTTTGTTTTGTTGCAGTTAACGTGAAAATGTGAAAATGCTTGTTTCATGTAAAATGTATTTCTTCAGAAGTGGTGCTTTTCTCCCTTGTTTGACTCACCATGTTAGAGGACTTTACAGTCAGTCACACTACAGAGTTCATTGGGTCAGTGCGGTCCAGCACTTTGTCCCAGACTGAAATCTCTCAATGACTTTTGGATAAATTGAAATTGTGTACACATTTATGGCCCCCAAAGAATAATTGCTCCTGACTTTAGTGATCCCTTGACTTCATGAATCATGAGGTTGGCATTTGTGGTTTTGTTTGAAAAGTCCCAATATCTATTGAATGGATTGTAATGAAATTTCATTCAGACATTCATGCCCCTAGGATTAATTGTAATCACTTTAAAGATCACTGTTCCTAGAATGACACAATCAGGTCAAATTTTTAATTTGTCCAATACTTCGGTTTATGAACAAATACTAACAAAACTAATCACACGGCTATCTGCCTCAGCAGTAGCCTACATTTTCTGGTCTATTCCATATTTATATATTTCTACATTCATTTATGTCAACTGTATGTTTGTCTACGTGTAGCACCTTATCACCAAAGCAAATTCCTCATATGTGTGAAACACTTCTTGGCAATAAAGCTCCTTCTGATTCTGGTACATTGTGTCTAGTGCTAAGTAGCACATGTTAGCATGCTAATGCAAAAAACTGACAGTGTTGATGGAAGGTAAAGGTAAGCGAACAGAAGGAGCACGCACACACAGTACAACAACACACATAGTTTGTGTTGTTGTACTGTTTTTGTTGGTTTGAGACTACTAAATCACGTTAAAAAATATCCAAACAGAAAAGTAACAACTGAACAATGAAGCTGGTTTCAGCTTTTTTATGACCCCCGAGAGTCTCCTATGTAATAACGTACCAAAAATGATTACAATGAAATTGAACATGTAACAAAAATATTTTTTGTGAAGTGTATTGTCAAGCTTTCAGCATGAAATAAACTATATAAATATGACTCAACTTGACTAATCAAGCCACCTCAGAAAGCCCAGACTGAAACACAATCTGGCAACAGTGGGGCGTTTCTCTAAAATGTGTATAACCTGACACTAAATCACTTTCCATTCCTCCTAAATATACCTTTACAAGTATGATTGTTCAAATTAAACATGAACAGAATCCCCCAAAAGTCCTGTGAAGAACTTTGTCCCACTCTCCACATACTGACCATACAAACACCCCCCCCACGCACAAATACTTAATCCTCCCAAATCCAGACAGGAAATGCCCTCGTCAGTAGAGCAGAATGCTTTTGACAGACCCCCACTGCTCTGTCTCTGCCTCTTTCTCTCTCTGCTTTCTCCTCCCCCTCTGTTGAATGATATATCTGCCCTCCACAAACTGCCATCTGGAAACAGTTAGCCTGTGAACGTTTGCACAGAGCCAATAAAAGCATGTCTATTGTGAGTCTATCAGTGGTGGAGGATAATTCAACCTCGCTATCAGAGGGGAATATGGGACACATTGTTTGCTTTCACTTTCTGGAGCTGGTGTGTGAGTGCGCGTGCATGTGTTGGGGACAATCAAATACTTGTTTGTTGTCATGACTCATGAGATCCAGTCTTTTTCTTTGGCTTTTCTTCAGGTCTTCTTTCACTTTACAGCTTGTTTTCTGGTTAGTTTCTATGGAGAGCCTCAAACACTAGAAATTATTTATTTAATTTTTAAGGGACAAGCTAATTTAACTCAGTCCTCAGTCGATCCCATGTATCTTAATGAATTCGCTATCTACATAAACACTGGGTTTATAATGGTGGAAGCTAAAAACACACACCGAGAGGCTGCAGTAGGATGGAGAGCTGATTAAAGAGGAACACTGATGAAGAAGGTAGAGAAACAATAAGAGGTGTTGAAAAACAACAGCCTGAAACACTTCTGCTGCAAAGACAACAGGAGGAAGATGGGATACATTTTTTAAATATAAAGAATATATAAAATACTGAATACGAATTTGATAATTTCAGCCAATGCACAAAAGGATTTCAACCTTCATAATGGCTCCAACAGTAACTGCAGTAAAGTAGATCAGGTAAATCATAATCACATATCTTGCCATTTCTTAGTTTAAAGGTTGTAGTTCACTCTATAACACTTTTATTAAAAGACACCCATATTTCGATATTACATTGAAACTGTCTGTAGTTTAACCCCTTACTTGGAGTATTTACACCTGATGTGGTTTAAATGCCTTGCTCAAGGCAGCTTTGAGCAGAGCTGCAGAGACGAGAAAGATAATTTGTTATTCACATTTCTTTCAATTTCTACTTTGGATTTCAAACACGAAAAAAATATCTGCAATTAAAACTGGCAAATATATAAAATCTGATATGACATTTTTTCAGCCTCTGGGGAAGCAACTGTATCTGATGTGAAGAATGATCCCAACAATCACCACAGCACTGAAATATTGTGTCCTCTAGTGGCACCCATGTGTTCCAGCACCTCAGGGTCAAAGAAAACAAGTTCAAAGAAATCTGCTGACCACAACAGGGCTCAAAAGTTTTCTTTATTAATGAAAAGATAAATGGGAAAAAAAAATGTGTAAGGTGACAGGGGTCAAGGCAAGAGTGTGGGAATCACCTAATTTCCTTTTTCTTTAACTTTTGAGGCCTCAAGACATATTATAAAATAAAATGGCAGTAGTTTTCATATTGTTCATATAATAAAATTTGAGCAACTAAACCCAAAAATTAAAACACAAGAATTTATCATAAAATACAGAAAATTTTGTGGTCATAACTTGAGTTACCTAAACATAAATGATGGTAAAATATACTCTGTATATTTGTCTTTACATGCTTAAAAACGGATTTTGCGTAGTTTGCTTTATAGCACACATGCATTGACTGCATTTCTAGAACAATTTAATCTGGTATTCTAAAGATGCACGCTTTTCACAGCTGTTGTGTGAGAAAGACTATACATTCAAATCAGATTTTCACAGCATCAAGGTCAAATTTAACCAGAATGATCTTTGCTGTTTAGAAAAATTCACTCGATCGGCTTATGAAATGAATCCAGTCTTAGGTGTTAGTTATATTCTGCCATCAGAGGTTGGAAAACCAGTGCTAAGGAAATTCATGGTATAATGACTGCAGAACACTTATGGCTGGTCTAGTATACTGTAGTTAAAGTAGCAGTTAAAGTGATCCTCATGCAGAGCAGTCCTATGATCATTAGCGTTAAAAACAGGCTGAACAAAAGGATCATCTGGAACCCAGAGATGCTCAAAAACACACAAAACAGAATCATAAGGCACCTGCATCCACCTTTACAATACAGCAGTACCAATTAGTGCAGAAATAGGCTGTAAACACCATTCAAGCACATACAATATTTTACATCATGAACATATATTCAGACTTGTCATATTTTAAGGAAGATTGATCATCCTTTCACTTATTGCACATAATCACTTTGCCCAAAAAAATAAAGATTTGATCTGTGAACTGAACTAAAAACCTAAAATTGAACTAAAATACCTTACCAAGGAAGCTTTACGTGTAAATTAGGTGACAGTTCAGCAATAACTTATCAAACAATACATTTACCCACACAGATATTAAGTGTCCAGACTACTGTAGGTCAGTGATTGCATACCTTTGTTTCAGAAGCCTTCATGTATACAGAAATGCTTTTGTCCATTTCTTAAATGTCGCACTATAAATATGATTAACACCAACTTGACTCTCTCCAGTGTACCCACACTTTCACCTGTTCATCGTTTCTCAACAGACACTTTGTTGTGTCTCTGTACTCCTTCACATTAGATCTGAAATAATGACTATGAGGTTAAGGTGCTGACTAATTTGAGGGGTTGATTGAACAGTTTTGGAAGCAACGTGTTTTTATGCAGAGTTTCCTAAAGAGGTAAAAAGGTCTACAAGTCCCACACTGTTCACTTTAACCTCAGTTATTTTTCCCTTTAACCTCCAGTGTTCTGGAGCACAAAGGCAAAACACTAAAAAGCAACATCAGTCATTAGATTTATAGACTTCACTGTGTGCCAGTTTGGAACT